AGCGAGCGAATGCTGTGAAAGCTTTTCCCAGCTTAGAGCCTCGTGGTGCCATCGCTGTCTTCAAACCCACATGCTTCTCTTTTCCAGAGCGTTTTTCTGTTATTACAAATAACCACGCTGGTAGGTTGAGGCCAAGAGCATCCGATATTAAATGAACAAATAAGGCAACACACACCTGCACCTAAGGAATTTGTGAAATGAAAAAAGGGATCATTACTATGATGGGTTTTTGTTTGATTTAATTGCACAGTTTATTCACGTTTAATGACAGAGGAGTTAGCAGTTATCACCGGTGTTCCCTTCCTCATCTTTAAGCCACTCACATGTTTCAGCAGCCTCCCTGAGCAGGATCACCAACTTATCTCAAGTAATTAGGCAGTCATTTGTAGATACACGGTGCACAGATACAATGCAATTAACTAACCGTTCCTCCTACAGAGAGGCGAAGTCTGGTCCCCTGTCCCTCTTTCCACTGCGCTCCATTTCACACCATCTCTAAAAATATATATGCGGTCGTCGCTGGCAAGAGAAAACGCTTTTTTGATCCCGTATGAATTACGCCATGAATAATACATACGATGTTTATCAATTTGAAATACAATTTTGCATGTCAAGAAAGTCGCATTTTGTCAGACAGACAATAAAATGCTATTTGTTTTTTAAGCAAAACTGCTCGGTGAGCTACATCTTGCACAATATACATCACCTACATCACCACAGCTGTAGGCATATATCACCTTGTTGTTCCATGACAGGGGAAAAAGGACGAAAGAGGTGAAAATGACTGAACGTCAGGTCATGTTTAGAGCGTGAGCTTGGGATGTTATCTTGTTATATTTCACAATCCTATACTTCAACACAATCTGTGAGTATCTTGACTTTTAAAATGATCTGTTAAATTCATGGCACAATTCAATAGGCAAAAAAAAAACAGGATTCGGTACTTGCCATTGGCTGTACATATTTTTTCTGAGATAAGATCCCGTGGGGCACATCGGTGAGGGCTGGATTTCACCCTGTCCAGCTGGTTTAACATGTTACCTAACCAGACAGCTAATTAGCTGGACAGGCTTGTGAAGTTCAATTAATCAGCCCCCGTTTGAGGAAATAGCCAGTTGTAGCATCAGTTGGTTGTTTTCTTGTTACCCCTTTACTGTTGTTGTTCAAAGCATGTTCTTGGGAAGAAATGTGAAGTGGCAGGTATTGGTGATAACTCCACGGTTGTGAAAAGTGAAACTATGGAATAAAAATGTGATTGAGAATAAAGACACAATGACATTTTTAGGGGAAAATTAAAAAACTAAATTAAAAAAATCTAAAAATTGCAACTAGTATTTACGTCATAATGTCCTATTTAGTAATTTAACAGTGAACACTTTGGAGCACCATCAAGTCACTTTGAATATTCTGTCCCCATATCCTCCACCTTATGTAAAATACCACAGTTTAATATGCATCTCATTAAAACACACTTTATTGGATGAATGAAAGGATTTAGGCCCATCCTGAGCAGCATGCCCATTTACAAAGGGTGCAGATCCTCATATAACTTACAAGCCGGAGAACAGCGAGCGCGGGCAAAGGGTCGCTAGAGTTCTTTTAACTGCGGTTCAAAGCCGTGTTAAGTGTGGGAATCAAAATCCTTTCTCCTGAGACTAACAGTAGGAGGCACAATAGCATCCTTTTGATCTTTCCTCTGGCATGTTTTCCTCTACATTTCTCCTCCTCCGTCATCTGACTCATTCATCGCTCCATTCTCTGGAGAAATCATGCTAATCAGGGCCAGCGAGATATTGTCGAGCATCAGCAGCATGCAGTGAGAGGTGCAGAGCAGAGATAGGTGAGCAGCTCTCATTTCCAGCTAATTATGGTCCTGCTTCACCAAATGGCATGCATACTTTACTGACTGGGGAATGTCTCTTTTAGCAAACATAGATGAGTTATGGGATCATTGTTTTTCATACCACTATGTGCAGCGTAGCCAATGCATAATTTCACCAACATGCACTAATGTATTCCTGCCATTGCTTTGCAAAGCAAATGATAATTAAAGGAACTGTTCAACTCTTCATCTTCCTGCATAGAGTTAAATAACATCACTCTTATTTACAGTAAATATGAAGCCGGATCAGCAGCCACGGAGCAAAGCTTAGCAATAACAAACCTGGCTCCGTTTACAGACAGCAAAATCTGCCCAGCAGCCCCTCTAAAGCTCTAAAGCAAATAATTAAGTGTAAAAATGACATTTTCCATTTGACGGGGTTTATAGGACTGGATTTCCTGGCCTCAACCAAAAAACTGGTTGTCTGGCAACTGGTCCCAGCTAAGAAAGAGCACGTCACAGGAAAGATCAAACTGCTATTTTTACACATCAGCTACAAGATACGTCAGGTTGGTGAGCTTTAGAGGTGCTGCTAATCGGACGAGCTGCTTTTCTCTGTTTCCATTAGCTTCTAATTAAGACATAAGATCTGTACTCGTCCCCTTATGTAACTTGCGGTGAGAGGGAATGTTATACAATTTCTGATACTGTGATGAATGTCTGTCAGAAACTTTTTAGAATTAGTGGGTTGTAGTGTTTTAGAAATATGCTCACTGGAGAAAAAAAAAATGAAAATGATCACCTAACATTAAATCAGCTGAAACCACACTTCACATATTCTCCTCTTAGAGTAGAGTATAAACAACGCTTATATATATAGAGCCTCTCAAGGGATGGAAACACAAAATGCACTGTGTGGAGGACTGCTCAGGCAGCACGTATGTTAATCATTGCACCAGAACTGTTCTGAATTCACATAGTTTCAACGAGGATTGATACCAGCTTTCACACGTCCAAATGCCTTTCTCCGCTCTAAAGACCCTTTTGATAAATCCAATCCTCTCACATCCACAAAGGCAGTTGAGATGCGCGCACACAGTTCAATCAATATCCTCTGTTTCTTTGACACCCATGTCAAGGTCATGCATACAGCAAAGCCTTTGGGTGAGACATAAAAAGACGACTGCCGGGGCGCTGAAATGCATTATGGCAGATGGAAGCTTAAAGTTGTATTTATTTATAAGATATTGGATTGGAATAAATTAGCGTCACGAAAGTCATTTTAATCTCTCATATCGTATTAGCTGTCTCCCGCGATATTGGCACAAGGCAAGGTGCGGGATGATGTATGAGCGGATAAGGAAAGCTAATCACTGCTAAACAGCACCTCTAGGATTTTGGGAATATTGTGAAACTCTTCTCTGTCCCATACAACACAGATGGATGTGTCAGTAAGCCCTGTTATTAAACCCACACAGAATATTTGTCTCCGTTTTATGATGATCCCATTTTAGGATGTTCAAAGAAAACAATTTGTCTGTGTCTAAAAGAACACTGTAGCAATTTTCTCCTTATCATAATATGTTCTATTACTGAAAAGAGATTAACCTACTGATGTTTGGACCTGTTGTGTTTAAAAAATGAGTGCAAGATGAAGGAAAGAATCTGTATTTTTCTCCCAAATTACATTATTATATTTAATCTTGAGTTACATGTCTCATATGCACATGACAATTGAATCACAGACTGTTTAATATACACATTTTTTTCTGTTATTTTGTATTACAGGGAACAACTCGAATGAGCATTTCTCTTTTTTTGGGCTGAGAGAATAGATCCCACAGATGAGCAAACAATGCAAAAATTCACAGTCAATGCCATTATATTTAAATGTGGATAATCAATGTGGAAATTTTGTTGAAAAAGCATGAAATGAATATGATGCAGTTCTTTTGACCTTGCCTTTACAAGACAAGTTGGGCAGCTACTTAAAAATGATCATCTTTGATCGCACCATGACATCAAGCATGTTCATAGTCATTAAATACCAGCATGACAGTTAAGAAAACGCCACAAGAGACGAGCTTTCCAGTAATAGGGATTGTCACAGTAATTGGAAAGGATCATGCAGTGTTTACTGTTGCCAGATAATGATTAAGTTAAACTCCCTCCTTAAGCCATAGATAAATGTTGTCAGTCCAGAATGCATATGAGGCACAGTCAATAAAGATGGATGGTGATGAGTTTACTGATGAGTGCAGTTTGTCTTTGTTAGTGGATTTGTCACCTTCCAGCGTTAATTCAGGCTGTGGTTTCAAGGTGAGTTGTGTCGATGAGGGACAGGAGGATGGTGGACAAGATGCTCTCCATCATGGACAGTCCACTACACCCACTACACTGGACTATAGAGGGACAGCGGAGCTCTTTCTCCAACAGACTCATGCAGGTCAGCTGTCACAGTGAACGGTACAGGACTTCATTCATACCGTTCTCCATTCATCTGTACAGCAGCCCTCTGCTTCAGATAACTCCTCCACTCATGTTTTTGCACAAGTGTTACGGTAGTATTTATTTTTATTTGTTTTTATTTCTTTTCTTGTCTTTCTTCACTTGGCAAAAAGAAAAAAAAAAGTAAAATTATAAATTGTACATATGGAAGTCTGGTATTGTTTTTTTTCCCCGTTTGCTTTTTTACTTTTTTATTTGTATTTTTTGTATATTGTTATATAATTATTTATTTTATTTTATTTTATTTTATTTTGTGGTACTGTGATAAAGCAATTTCTCTTGTGGATCAATAAAGTTGATCCCCCCCTCCCACCTCCTTTTGTGTGTGTGTGTGTGTGTGTGTGCGTTGTTTTTCTTCTCTTGCTTACTTGTAATGTGTCGCTCTTTGCCCCCCTAATTGCCCTTCGGGGATAAAGTTTTTTTTCTGATTCTGATTCTGATTCTAAGTCTAAGTTTAACATGGCATTTTAATTAGTATCCGGATACACAAATCTAAACTATATAACTGCAAACATACATATTTCGTCTTAAAAAATACAATTAAAAACAATCTTAATATATTTTCACACGTCGTCTCATTTTATGTCACTTGAATTTATCTGTTTTTGCATTTCGCGGTTTTCTCGGGAGAAGATTGTCCTCCGCGGCCACCGTACGATGACGTGGCGTTAGCCGACGTGTACTGTGTAGTTTCCCTTAGCCGGCTGCTGATAACGGTAACATCCAGCTGCTTTAGTCTCCGTTTGTTTTCTGACACGTTACACATACGACTGGACAGTGTTCACTTTAGTGGGTCGAGATGAGGCGCGCCGGACTGGGTGAGAAACACTAAAAATATTAGACTTTTAAATTTAAGCTCACACTTAGCTCGCTTGCTAGTTAGCTAACTAGCTAATGTTATTAACAAATGTGAATGAGTGTTCGGTGTTGGACACTCCAGGCCCATGTTTACACATGTCTGTCACCTTTGAAGTTTTATTTCAGGATTTAAATGCTGACAGAGAAGCTCACATGTAATTGTCGACCCATACAGGTGAAGGACATTCTGGGAATTATGTGGCCAGTGGGTACAGTGTGCATGAAGAGGAGAATGAACATCTACAGGAGGGACTCCGAGCTAAAGTCAGCGCTTTGAAAAGCGTAAGTAACTATTAATGACAGCTTCATTGATTTGACAAACGCATTCTGTGTTGTCTGTTTTTCAACTCCAAAAGTAGGCATGGTTGTTATTACAAACCATGACGAGATATCTACACACCAGGCATTGTTACTGTTATAGTCATGTGACTGTACTTTATATTTACAGCTGACAATTGATATCGGGACGGAGGTCAAATACCAGAACAAAATGCTGGACGACATGGTGAGTTTCACACTGTCTGCATTAAACCTAACTCTGTAGTTAAATGTGAGTAGTGAAGGATGGATTCTGGCTCTTTAAACCTCTTGTTGTGTGACACAGATTCAAACTTTCACTGTGTTGTTCTCTGTCACATCAATATAATGACAACATAGCTTCTAATCAGTGATCAGTGTTTCCTGTATGGAACAGAAGTGATCACACACCCCTGTGCAATTTCACATCAATGCCAAATGATTCATTATTGCATCACCCTCCAATAACTGCATGACTAGGACAGTGGTGTTTTTCCTGCTGTGTAACATTAAAAACCAGACCTTTGGATTATTAAGATGACATCTCTTACAGTAGAAACTCAGTGCAGCTAAAGTCCGTCCACCTGTCATTGCTGAGATTTAAATTTCTGCTATGTCCACTTTTATTTTTGATGACAGTCCTCCTTAGCGTTGAGGATGCCACATTTCCTGAGAGATGTTCTGTCATTCTTCAGAGACATGTTTTCCAGCTGCTCTTTGCAGGACAAGTCGTTATGCCCTACCTTTCACTTTAGAATACCCCAAAGGTGTTCTGTTGGATTCAAGTCAGATGAGATGTAGAGTCATAGTTTTTGCTTTTTCCTTCTTTTGAAACTTTTGTGTGATTTTTGGCAGCATGCTTT